GCTGTAGTGAACCTTCATTTGTTTTCCAGTCACTTGTTCAAAGGTATTGAGGTTAGGGAATGGGTAGCAAGAGCAGTGGAGACAGTTCTGGGAGCAAAGTTGCTTCCATGGTTTCCAGATGAAGAGATTTGGAAGGGCAGACAAGTTCAGTGAGTACAGCTGAAAACTCAGTCTGTTTGCATAGGCTGATGCTAAAGTGAGGGGTGGTTTACCTGAGCCTTAAGTCCTGAAAAATACCTGCTGTGGGTGAAACAATGATGAATAATGGTCTTTAGATTGAATCTCGGGACACCGATTCCTAGATGACTCAGAGCTAATGTTAGTTGTGCAGAATCAGTGGCCAACTTCAGCTGTGGCTCCTGCACTGGAGGGTGTGAGCTGCAGCCTTGCCCTTTGAGCCCCACATGCTGCTCCTGTCTCTGTACTGTTCCCAGGTAGATGTTCCTGTCTTGCATTTTCCCTCTGAGTAAGCACTCGTGTTGGAGATGCTTTTCACACAGGAAAGATGTTCTGGGCTGGGATGTCCCATGTTCAAGAGATGAGGAAGGTAACATAGATGTTCTTCCCTCTGCTACAAATTGTGGGGCAGGATGGATTGCTTCCTTGTCTGAGCCCCATGATCTGCATCCTGTTTTTCTGGTTTAGGACCTGCAGGATATGGGAAGTGCTAACAACTTGATTTACTGTTCCCATGCACCCAGATACAGTTACACAGCCTGCACAAAGTGGGTGTAACACCTTGTGAAGTTAGGCATTTCACTGTGGACCACATGCAAAGCCATAGGAAATATTTGTTTACGTGACAAAGCCAAGGAGGATTAAGATTCAGATGAGGAATGGATGCTAAACAGAAATCAGAGTGATGCCTGCCTGTTTTATGCAAACAAAGCTTCTTTTGTCCTAAGGTGATACTGCTTCCCCATAGCATTAAAGTAGGCATAATTGGGATTTTAGTAATTTCTACACTAACAGGACATCAGCAGCAGCCTTTGTACACTAGACAAAACGTCAGAAGATTTTCAGATGGGCAAAGTTTGGCATGGCTGGTGTAGAGAAGCTTTTATTAACTTAAATCTAAAAGACAGTAAATTCTTGGTTGATATATAGTTTTTGGGTTTTCCTTCTTTTTTTTTCTTTCTTTCATTTTTTTTTTTTTTTTTTAATTTCCATTCGAATTTTTCCTTATTGTGTAAAGTCAGCTAAACCTGTTAAAAATAATTAAAATAATTTAGAAGTTTTTTCCTAACATGGTAGATGATACACACATTAGGTAATTGAAATCATGCACACTCCAGGAAGATAAAACCTTGCCTTTCCCATTTGTGGTGAGGCAGGATTGAACATGTCTAAAACTATTTCATGTAGAGGGAGAATAAAGCAGGAAATGAATTACGATTTTATTTGAGGTGAAGGATTAGTTGAGGGATAATAGCGAACAACGAAACAACTTGGGCACAAGGCTGCTGTCTCTTAAACAGTTTTATTAGCTTATGCAGATTTGTGAATTAGGGAAACCAAATTATGTCATGCAAGAGAGCAAGGGATGACAATTAAAAACCTGCAGGAAAGGACTAGTAAAACAGTAATCTCTCACTGCCTGATCTTCAAAGCAAGATGGGAGAGCATGACCTTTACTTGGAACAAATGCAGGATATTGCACGTAGCCAACTTCTGGTTTTCAGGTTCTGCCAATTTGCAGTTGCTCTCTTGTACTACAGTCCTTACTTGTTGATTGCCCTGGGGTCCAGTTTTAGTCTCAAAATACCCCTGAGAAGTACTTCCATGTTCTTTGATTTGAGATCTGTTCATGTCTCAATTACACTTCTAATCTGTCAGCACGGTGTCCTTTTTAGCTCTCAAAGACAGGGCTATGCTGTGATATTTGAGTAACCATAATGCTGTGGGACCATGAGAAACAGCTTCCTTGGTAACGCTTCCCATTTTTAGCGGAGATGTGATCGGTAACCGTGTATGTGGTAATGATTTGTTGGTCACGTTGAAACTTTAGTCACAAAGTCTGGTTAAGACATAACTGTACTGCAAACCAGCTTTCTCTGCTGGTCCCTCCAAGTTATGACTGTTTTGCATGTTCCATGAAGAGCATGTCATCAGAGTCCATTAGATATGCATGGCAAAAAGATTGTCCCAAGTAGGGACTGAGTGCACTGCTCTTCAGGTGAGGGGTGTGCTGCAAGAAACAGCATCTCTCCATGCGTCCTGAATTTTGTGCTATGCCATCTTTAAATCTTAAGCATGAAAGTGCCTGGGAACATTTGCAGGCAAACATGTCTTGGCCCTCACAGTCAAGTGCCTATGGGTAAGGTCAAGTGAGCAAGTTGTAGCAAATCAAACTAGCTCGTGAATTTGCAGTGCATCATCTGCTCCATAATAACTGGCTGTGTGCATAGTACAAAGGCACCCTGTGGTAAATAGAAGGTCTCTTGCCTCTTTTTTTGCCTGAGGTGTAAGCTGCCTTGCTTCATGTCATCTTTCCCGTGAGATGTGACTGTATGGAGAAGGTTTCTGCCCCACAGTACCACCACTGCACTGCATTGCACAGGTGCTGCTTATGGCCCGTTTCTGTGTCCCTGTGCTGGGATCTGCAAGACCCATTCCAGGCTGACAGCAAGATCACTGCATGGCTGGCAAGCAGCCTCGCTCCTGATTCAGTGATCAAAGCCCTGGTTTGGGCAATTGGAGCCTTGCTAACTTGAACAGAATCAAAATCCTAATGCCACTTGTTGAAGTTAGTGGAAGGACTTAGTCACTGAATGTGGTGGGTGTCAACCCAGGGTTACACACAGCTAACTCTCGAGAGAGGCTCTCAGGAGCCTATCCAAGCAGGAGTTTTCAAGGAGTAAACTTCCCTGGTCTTAATAAAAATTACGGGAAGCCATCTATTTTTCTTGGAAGTGTTAAATATTTTCTCATAGTCGTTTGGACTCCATTTGAAGGTTCCCCTGAATGCTGAATGACAAGAGATAAGGATTAAAAATTGCAGCTTTTAGGGTTGCCAAATTATTGGGGAAAAAAACCCCCATAAATAATTTGCAAATGCTGAAATCTTTCATTTTAACACTTAGAAGCAAAATGGTTTGAGCATTTCGAGCTGAGATAGAGTTTTTTAATTGTGAGATTCTTGTAATTTAAAGAAAAAAATAAATGGCTTGAAAATAAACTTACTTTTCAGCAAGGTTTCAAGGGTTTTTTTAAATAGGTCTGTGTTATTTTTCTCTATTTGGTCTGCTTGCTAAAGTTAAAAATCTTGTGAGACCACGTCTGATGGTTTGTTTTTCCATCAGATAAGCAGTGGAGTCCCACTTCAGTAGAGGAGAGAAGGTGTTGCCCAAAGTCTTGGAAGTGCAGCCAGGGCCTAGGTGTCTGAAGACTCTTGAGGTAGCAGTGCTTCTATCACACAGGAGTTGTAGTTCCTAAGAAACTACAGTGTCTTAAACTGGGAAGATTTTTGTAATGAGTATCTTGCATTTCTACAGTCCTGCAGGGAGAGGACAAAGACACATGGACCTTGAGACTAGTGGTCACCATCATCATCATCATTGCCAGGTGCCTGCCTGAGTCCCAGCCAGCTGGATGCAGGTTTACAGGCACTGCTCCATGAGGGTTTAGCCTTAGCCAGTAAATCCAGGAGTTGTCTTACACCAAAACTGGATCAGCTGGGCAGATACTGCTTTGGGCTTTGGAAGGTTTTGTTGTTGTTGCTTTGTAAGTTCAACTGAAATAGTCATAGGTGTAAACTTTTGAATAGCAACCTTTTTTATCATTGCATTGTTTTCCCTCTGCTCTTCACCCATAAACTGCACTTGTCCATCTGTCTGACTTGTTTCCTGCCTTCACGTAATGTGAGATTCATCTGCATTCATGTGTAGCCATCTAATCTGAGCTCAGTGTCTAGACTCACTTTATGGAGAGAACCAGACCTTTCTAGAGAGTGAATCATTCTGTCCTAAACCAGATGCTTGATAGGTCAAATGAATAATTTTCTAGATTGCTTCATTTCCTCCAACAAGTGAAGAAAGTTTGCACTAAGGTGTAGAGTTTTGTCCTGCACTTGTTTTTTTTGTTGTTGTCCTGCACACCATAAGGCTGGCAGGATGGGATCCATATGCACAAATCTTGAAGCGACCTGTGAAATGTTTGAGAAGCCTTACATTAAGGAGGTAGGAAATGTTGGTGGCACAAAGTGAAACTAAGAATTTACGAAGCACAAGGAAGACAAGGTTCGAGGAAAAAATGTTCAATTTGGGGCCTGTGGAAATACACACTCTATTTTAAGTATTCTATGTGGGGTTCACATAAAAATGAAACCCAGCAGTTTCCTCAGCCCCCAATAAAAAGGCTGAGGATAGTCTGATCTGTGTAGTAGGTAAAAAAAAAAAAAAAAGAAGAGTTGGTCCACAATGACATTTGTCAAAAAATCAGTGAAAGAACCACACAATATTAAAAATCTTGAATATGAAAAATACTTCCTACTGAGGAAGAGCAAGAATATGTGTGTGTGTGTATTTTTGGATTCAGCACTCCTCTGTTAAAATATTGCAGATAACCAGGGAAATACATAGGTGTTTACATTCCCGTAGAGGAGTTCATTGAGAACAAAAATCTTCCTGTGTGGATCTCTCTGCACATTGTGGACTTTGTTTGCAGATACTTTTCTAAACAGCAACTCCAAGTAGTTTTTTTCTTGCTACAGCAACAGAAGTATCCAAGAATTATTTTAATTATGTATCTGCTTCAGCAATTCTGAACTGGGTTTTAATTTTTTGTAATAATATGAACAAGGCAAATGACTCTTCTTGTCCTAGATCAGTGTTTGCCATACACTCGTTCTGTACTGGAATCTCTGTCTTGGGAGCTCATTAAAAATGCATGTGCTTCAAGGAGTTGTAGGAGTCAATTGTTCATTTGTTAAACAGCTCTATGAATTTTCCTCTTTTTGTTCCTTGCTTTCTTTCTTACCTGTTTTTGCTTTTGTTTTACAGCTCTACCTTACTTTATTTGAAAAAGGAAAGCCAGTGAGAACCTGTGAACAATCCAGCAGCTTCTGAAAAACCTTCATGTTAAAGGATAATCCAGAATTCCCTGAAGAAGAACATAGTGAATGTTGTGAGTTCCTAGCAATGATAACAATTCTGTCTTTTGGAAGGTACTATCTGCCCTGTAGTGTTTGGTCTCTTCCCTGTGATGCACTGAGCACCAAAGACTTGAATTTCTTTCCCTCTTGCGCTTTGTTTTTTTTCTTTTTTTTTTTTTTTCTTTTAATGTGTTCAAAGGAAGATTAGTTCTGTCTAAGGAAAGATAGTGGGTTTCTTTTCCTTGGACTGCTACAGTTATTTGTCATTGCTTTTTAAATATGAGAGTTTGCATTGGAAGGCCACGTGACCGTGTAGCCTAACAAGAATGAAAAATGCTATGGATAGCAGTTCATGAACCTACAGGTCAGATTCAAGAGTTCTATTCATGTTCTACAATGGTTAAAATTATTTGACCACTTTCAAATTAGAGGAATGCAAATGTAGTTATTTCTGCCTGGTATTCCAACCCTCCTGTTGGTCAGTTTGTTATATTAGTTTGAGTATTTCCAATACAAATGCTCCTCTCAGAGATTTGTGTTCATGGGAATTGGAGTAGCACACCTTTCCAAGGGAAACACAGTCACTCAACTGCGACCTTGATTCTGCTGTAGTATTATTAAAAGAAAATGTTCCCATGAGGGATGGCTAAAGAGAAGGCATGAATATTTTTATGTTCATTGTTTTTCTTATGAAGCCCACTGCTTTTCTGGGTTGAAATGGGCAAATATGCAGATCAAATGTAAACATTGTCACAAAAAAGAGGAAAACAAGAGTTCTCTGCCTGCCAGGTTTTAGCGTAATCTTTATTTTTTTCTTTAGAAAGAATCATGGGGATTTCCAAGTTAGGCAAGTTATTAATTCTTATTCCCAAAGTATGCAGTGGTCCTTCAAGATGTTAGTAGTGATAAAACAAGCTGCAGATTCTTCCAGTTTGAGCAAACTAGTTTGTGCACTTTCTATTAATGTAGTAAATATAAATATATTTTCTGGCACACCTTCTAGCTCCCTCAAAGTTGGATGCTCTCCTTTGCTCTGCTTTTCCCTTTGGGTTCAGGCTTCGGGAAGCAGATTGAGACAGAGTCTAAGTGGTGCTGCTTTCCCAAGAACCAGTTGCAAAATGAGTATGAGAGAAGACACTGAAAACTTTTTTATCATCTCTTGCCTTTCCCACCTGCTTTGATCTACAGTGAAATAGTTAACAAAGCCAACTTTTGGAATTGTTACTTACTAGTTACCACTCAGCTGCCAAGTTACTAGCTCATTAGATGAATAAGGGGCCTCTGAGATGTGGGGCTTCTCACTGTCTATGTACCCAAGCAGATGTGGCCGTATCAGCCTATTTCCACACTTCGAAAGGCTTCTTTAAAACCACAAGAGTTTACTTTGCATGCTGGCATCCTAGAACAGGAGAGGACAGCCTTAAAAAAATAATGAAAAAAACAACAGTCCTAGCATGCAGAGCTGTTGGGATAACAGGAGATGTTTGTTCAAGATGTTGCAATTGCCTCCACTGATTGCAGCAGCAGCACCACCTCAGGTGTAGAAGAGCATTCCCTGAGTGCTGTAAGGTATGTGGTGTGGCCAGATCAGCCAGATAAACTGAAAGAGGCAATCATCAGCCATTACAGGGGATGGAATATCTGTTGAAGATGCATCAGTGTGATCATTACATTCTGCCCTGTCCTAAACGGTTTTAAATCACCCCACTTAAAGCACAGTGTGATGTTCTGCTATTGTGGTGCCAAAACCCTGATTACACTCAGGAGGCCTGGGTTTGTGCAGAGAAAGCAGCACTCTTCTCACCAGGTATGGATGGGAAAAAGTGTTCTTGAGAATTGCTCTTACCCTGGCATCCAGGACTGGTTCCTTTTGAGGAATCATTTGTAGGTGATGGAGAGCTTTTTAGCAGTTCCTTGAGAGTGTATTTTGTCACCTGGCTTCTGCTTGGAGGACAGTGCTGCAAGAAGGAGGCAGTCAGTTAGGCTCTTCCTCTTTCCTTTAACCTCTTAGGGAGACAAAAGTAGCAGAGGTGAGGATGTACAGTGTTTCTCCTGAAAGGAAATATGGCATACAGTGATTTTACTGAAAAATACTGCTCTTTCTTCCCCGTTTGCAGGGTGTTGTCATGTTAAGATGTGAAGAAAATGATCAAACCTTTCCCACTGCAAGTGGTAGCTGTTCTCTTCTCTTCTGCTGCCTCCTTCTGCCACCCAGGCAAATTTCAGGGGAAGGGGGGTGTGAGGAGGGAGGGGTGCAGTAAATTGGGACCAGTGTTTTGTATCCACCTAGAAACTGCCTGTTTACTAAACAGTACAGATTTCTCGCTTCCTTTTTCCTGCTCTCTTCGTTTGGATGAAACACATTTCTGGAATAGACGTGCTTGTACAAATCAAGTCCATATTCTACTTCTGGGGAGAGAAAAAGGGACGTCAGGAGGGTTCGTTAAGGAGGAACGTTAATTTTAGTAAGGGTAAAAATGAAGCAAGACAAGGCTCCTTCGCTCTTGTCGGAGGGTACCTTGTGTATTCCAGCATACAATTTTGTAATTTTCTGGTAGGATGTAGGTATCCTGAGGTTTTTTGGTTTGTTTTTTTTTTTTCCATCCTGAAAACATATGCCACAGCTTTTTTGGAGTGCTAGCCACACAAGCACAAACACATTCTAACAGGAGCAATGAATAAACTCTTCATGTTCCTCACTTGCAGGCGTTTCTTCACATTATTTTTTTTTTCTGTGCTTATGTGAAAACCTCTGGCACAGTTTGTGGGAAGTGGAAAATAAATCTCTAAATCCAGTATGTGTCAATAACAGAAACGTGTTTAGTTGATCTCATATCTATAACTGTTATTTTGGGCAAACTGCAGATGGTAGGATAGTAAACATCCCCACTTCTAGCCCAGACAGGCTTTCTATGCCCTGCCTTCAGTGGGAACCTGCTGCTGTAAGAGCTGACTCCGAAGAGGGTCTGGAGGGACCGTGGTTGTGCATGGCTTAGCCCCAGTTCATCCCGTTTTTGAGCTGCTGCGTTCTTTTTTCTGTTCCTTGGCCCTCCTTGCTTCCTTTACCTTGGGTCCTATCTCCTGTGTACTCCCCCCCGGCTGCCGGCTGTTTTTCCTGGCACGTGGAGCTGCGGCGGGTCTGGGAGCGACAGCTCCTGGAGCTGATGTCAGTGCTGCTTCCTGAGCCGCCTGGCCAGGCTGGCTGTGGCCCAGGCACACCCTCTCCCCAGAGCATCACCTTCTCTGCCTGCCCATCCTGCTGCTGCAGGAGCAGCCCCTCGGGGAGGAGGCTTGTGCAAGTGATGGAAATTGAAGGTTAGCGAGCCTTTCACGGCGGTTTTCTCTGAGCGGCCATCTCCCACGCCTGGAGCCTCAACACAGGGTTTGTGGCGTGGTTGGAAGTGATGCCTGGTTTCTGTTCTGAGCTCTGCACACCTTGGAAGAATGACAGGAAGCTTTGACACATGCAGACTTAATGATTCTGGATGTCTCTGCTTTTGTGTCGCTTTGGTATCCATATGCTAAATCACTCCATGGTTTTCTATGGAAATTACCAGGCTGCTGAGAAAAGAGCAGAGCTGCATGTGTCCGTTCTTCCAAACAACAGCCCAGTACATGCCACTTGGTATTTATAGTGAGAGGGAAAAAGGGAAGAATCGCTTTAATTTAAGAAATGTCTCTCAGAAACAGCAGTAATTTATTCCTAGGCATTATTCTTCATTAAGAGCTACAGACAGCTGCAGCTTCCCTTTAAATAGAAATTGCTCTCCGCAGGCATGCTATACATAGGGCTTCAGGTTTCTGCCATCTCTCTGCCAAAAAATCAGAAGTATTTCTCACCAAATAAATGTTTATTCAGAAAGTCATATTTCCTGGCTTTTATTTCACGTCAGAGGCTTCCGGCAGCCAGGCAAGAACTGCTCAAGGCTTTCGTTTGAGAGAGGAAGCTGAAACGGTTTGAGTGTCTTGTGGGGCTTCACAAAAAAGTCTCTGACCATAACTCCGGGCCTTCAGTTTGGCAGTTTACTGTAGCTGATGAACAGGGGATTGAAATGGGCGTTGCAGAAGTCGTGCAGGGCAAGTGTGCCCGTGCAAAGTGGATGGTGATAGGGGCGTTTCTGTGCATTGGGTCAGCTCACCCCCTCTCCCGGCCTTGAAGCCACAGCTGTCCTCAGACTGCATGGGCAAACTGGCTTTGGCAGCTGGCAGCAACTGAGCTGTGTTGTTGGTGGGGGATCCCCCGTATGATCAGTGTATGGGACAGCATAGGGAAGCAGGCATGAGCTGCTTGCACCTGCCACCCAGCAGAGAGGTGGCCAAAGTGGCTTCAAGTCCTGCAGAAGGATGTGCAGCAATGAAGCTGTAAGCCACCAGTGCTCCAGAGGACCAAATACCTGTTTTATTCACATCTGTGCAACTTCCTTGGATTTACCTTTCTCTTCTCCACGTTCCTGCTGACTGGCTCCTCAACTAATGATTTCCTAAGCTGTCTTTTCCCCACTGTCTTTTCCAGCCTGAACTGCTGAGCTTCCTCTTTTGTCTCCAGGGCTTATCTGCTGGACCTATACTTTCCATTCAGTGTGCCAGTCCCTACCACTGCAGTAGATAACTTCACTGTTGTAGCAGCCCCAGCTGGTTGTCTTTTGTCATCTGTGGCTATGGTGTTCCTGTCAATACATGATGTTTTCCTTCTCCACATCTCCTCCTAGTTCTCCCTGCACTCCTAAGTTTATGGCTTATAGTATGCAATCCATGTATTAAAATAATTTTTAGTTAGGTCATTCATTACTCTCTTGCTTTCTTCTTGTCCAGTATAGGTTCCAGAGAAGTGAGAAGCTGTAATTTCTCCAGGGCTAAAATCCAAGTCTTTGATAGGCAGGCATGACGCCTGAGGCCACTACATGTTGCTACTGGTTGTCAGCTTTGTAAAACTTATCCTGCAGAGCAAAGAAATCTGGGCACAAAGATTGTTCTCTTCTCTACTGTGGCAAGCTGTAGTTTCCCAGTCTGTTCTGCCTTCCCTTCATTGTCT